ACCTCATATTGTCTAGGCATGAGGACTTACTTTCTTGTCTCATGTATATATTCAAATATATGTTTTCTTGACAGAGATTAACACCCCGAGCAGTCCAGTCTAGCAGACGACATACATTGTATGTTGTAACACGTGCTGTGAATATGCTATGTGTTATTTCTAGCAATTTCTTACTAACTTAATCACAGTTGTGATGTCATACTTTGTAATTGACATTGAGGTTATAGTCTCAAATAAAGTGGTTATTTTCTGGAATTTGTATCATTTAATTGCCACGTGCACCCGTATTGATTTACGTGTTAACACAGATTTAATTGCGTCACCCTATGCTTTATTTATTTTCTATGTAAGGGCCATTTTAGTCAAAATTCTCTGTTTGATGTTTAATACATTAGTAAACATGTCATTACACTAAACAGTTTCCAAAATCCTGTTACATGTAAGAGCTCTATTCCGTCTTTGCGTATTGCAGAGTTATCTTCTCTTGGGAGCAGGTATTGATTGTTACGTCATTGGTTTGTGAGAGTAACGTCATCAATTTTTGAGAAAACAACGTATTTTCTCACACAAACCAATGACGTAACAATCAATCCCTGCTCACAAGATAAGATAACTCTGCAATACGCTAAGACGGAATTGTCAACGCCTGAGAGTTACATGTTTTGCGCTTGAAATTACCAAGTTCGGCTGACTGATAAATACCAAGCATTCACTATATCAGTACATATTTATTTTGATATGAACATCATGTGCCTTTCCAAGTATAGTCACTCTACCAGTATCTGTCCAATAAGTAAAAAATATTCATCCATGTATGAATAACCATAGATCATGCTGCAAACACACAGATGCTTTGTTATTGTTAACTTCATTACCGGTACATTGATCAATAAAAAAACGTGTCCACTATTAATACAAAGGGGTACCATGTTTCCAGTTGGAGAAGAGCCTCATACTTTCCACCTGTGAGTGAACAAATAGATATCTTTTGCAGTCCATTCTCTCACAGAATGGGCAGTTTCTGGCCCTCCTCCTTAAACTTAAATTTTATTAAATTACTAGTTTACCACTAAGCAATAAGTACATTTTCAATCAAAAACAAAACAAACAAACAACAATTGCATCAACCTTCAATCAGGCATCACACTATACAATAACAACACAAAGTCAACACACAAATACGATAGCAAGCTAAACTTCGACAGAATTTTAGATTTCTGTCCAATGAATTAAGGATCTGCAAACATATTCAAGATTAAAAAAGTACATACATGCGGGTATGTTACTGTATATGACTGATGTAACCTCGCTTTTGTATGCTTTATAATGTATGATAAGTGTAACTTCAATTTTGTATATTTGGTGTTTGTGAAACCATTCTTCTTTGTTTTTATGCTACCAGGACAATTTGTATTTTTTGTGGTGAAGTAATTTAAAACAAATTCACTTTTAATATTGAACTCGGCCACATCTTCTCCCCGGTACCCCGTATTGCTTGTGTATATTGATATATATTTGTGCTTGCACGAACAACTACGGTAATATATTTTCTCGCTTCATTTGCTAACATGTTGTTGTTTTTTCTATTTATTTATGTCTTCAAGATAAATTTTTACCATAATCAGCCTTCGGTTTCAAACTATCCGAATTGATATGCGATAGCATCAGCATATTTCATAAATGAGAACTGTCGTTTGTTTTGTATGTGTAGTATTGTTTTATAGTGACTATTTATTTCTTTCATATATGTATTGTGAAATGTAACTGTAGCATATTACTTTGTCCTCTTTATCATAATTGCGCCCTTGCCTTTATGATTAATCGTCTCATTCAGGTAGTAATATTACACCACAGTTTGACGCTAAAAATGTACATAAAAATATAATTCATGTAGTTTAAGTCCAATGTGATCGAAGCAGAATTAGAATGCTCAAAATATATGAAATAAACTGGTGACTGGTTCCCTTATTAGTACTTTGATAAAGGTCGCGGTATATCATGATAACATTTTCAGAAATTAAATTTTAATGGCGATGCGGCAACTATAAAAAAAGATATTTTTGACAGTACAGTCTCATTTCGATGCAAACTTCAAACTTAAGCAGGGTTACTCCTATTACTATTCATTGAAGAAAGAAATATTGAAACATTTAAAAAAAAAAAA